TGTTTGATACCTTTGCTGGTTTTCTGCCCTAACCAATGCCAATGAATTGCGATGTGAAGTTGAAGTGGGGTTTTATTTGAGTTTTTAAAACGAAGATGATTGATATAATGAATGTAACCAAAGAGAGGAACAGAGAGACAGAAAAACCCAATATGGGAAAATCTGCTCTGACCCCATGAAAATGAGGGGGAGGGGGAGGGGGGGGGGAAGAAGGATATAACGGAAAAATAAATAAATCAAAACATGTTATAACTTTTTATCTCTTTTGTAGGTCAGCGTGACTACTTAACTTCAAAAGAAGAACCTGAAACCAGACCAGTTTAAATGAAGACTGTCCGAGATAAAGTCGGTTATAACAAGAAATGTTCAAAATAAGATTATGAGATGTATGAATTTGGCAGAGCCGATTAGGCATCTTCTCATAAGCTTACATGAATGAAAAGGCAGAAAAGTAAAGATAGAAATATAAACAAACAAGTTCATGATAAGATTACGAGATGACTGAATCTGGCAGAGCCGGTTAGATATCTCCTCATAAGCTTATATGAACATAAAAACTATATAATTTTTTTTTTAAATTCTGATGCTGGAATTTGCAAACAAATATATACTCCTCAGCAGTATAATCAAAACAAACCTTACAGAAGGTATGTACTCAGGAGTAAACCTAGGTATAATAAAAATTACAATCAGAATTCTTATTATGCAAAACAGAAACCCACTACTTCTAAAAAAAGTTATACGATTAGGTCTTCAAATTTTAGAAAATCAACTCTAAATCCTGACATACACGTTAGAAAATTTAGAGACACTAAAACATACAAGCAAACATTAAAATGTTTCGCTTGTAACCAACCAAGACATTTCTCTAGAGATTGTCCTAACCTAGCAAACCTTTACATAAAAGAGGCAGAACTCATAAAATCCTGCCACATGAACCTTCTTCCCATTGATGAAGTTGTTTCTACAGATTCTGAAATACTATAAGTGATTAGTATAATAGAATACAATGATGAAATCATTTTGGATAAAACTCACAAAGATTATGGGCTAATAAATGATTTCACAAATAATGAATTCATACATCTTTATCCAGGAAAATGACTTCTAACTAAATAATAAATACAATGAATTAGGAAATATATTAGATGATTTTGGATATTGTCTAATAAATACAATAGTTTCTTATTGTAATAGGAAAACTAACAAAAGGGTATTGCAGAATTCTATCAGTTACACAGGTACAGATATGGCAAGCCCAATCAACAAAGGCAAGTCACCAGCCTCAACAACTGAAAAGTTTGATACTCTAAAGTTTGGAACACAACATCTTCTGGTTTTACCATAAGGTCATCTTTAACAATTTAAATGCCTAAGGAACTGTCCCGTTTCAAGGGAACAAAAGGTTCTACTTGATGCTCTTCATCGAGCCAGTAGTCCAACAACAAAGCTTAATGCTATCAATGAATTAAATTATTACTTTGCAAAAATATTGTCCGCTTTTTTTAAAAAACCCAAGAATGAGGCTTATTGCCTTTCTACTGGTGATAAGCGTGACGTCTACCTATCATACCATTCTCTTTTGAAGGCTATAGGTAATGACAAACACAACAAATTTCAAGGATTTTGTAACCTTGAAGAAGCTGTACAGGCAATGGTCAGCTATGTTGGTGGTGATAACAACATGTTGGACCATCCGGAAGTTGGTAATTTCATTGTTGAGAAACCAACAAAATAAGAGAGTTTTTCAATTTATGATTCCATTAAACTCAAACAACATTTGACTTTTTCCAGAAAAATGAACAAAAATTGAAAACCTCTCTTTTTCAATAGAAAAAAGATTTTCAAAAACATATTTCCTGTTTGGATAAAGAAAATAAAAAATAAAAAACCGAAATCTTAGATCTTCATCAAAAGATGGACTATGATTCCGGAACCATTGATTATGGAAACTTTACAAAGCATATGGTCTATATTGGTCATTCAAAAGAAAATTCTTGGGCCAACTACCCAACTCAATCTAAGAAAAAATCTACCAACATGCTTCAGATGCCTTGTTAGTAGAACTCGGAGCACTCCAGATCTGGTTATTTCAATTACCAGTAGATTCTGTACTTCAACAACACTTGAGGATAGTTCAATATCAGGATAATTTGGCTCCCTCATCTTCCGATCAATACAACATCGGAATAAATCCTTATTTGGTGGAATGTGATCCTACTTGGATTAACAAAATATTAACTGAAGATTTATTCTTTTCAGGATTCATGAAATAGATGATTATTTTCAGGGACACAGTGATAGAACCATTTTTCAGTCCAAAGATTAACTACTGGATAAATGTGTTCTTTCAAAGTGATTACAGAGAAGAATATTTCATTGAGATATTCTCTACACACCCCCAAAACACAAAAGGCAGATACAGTTCAGCAAAACATCACTTGTTTCTGGATTTTGAACCATTCACTAATATCTTTTTCAGTGACAATTTACAAAAAATTGATCATGATAACCCTCCCTTCACTTCAGAGAGGTATGATCAATTCGAAGAAGAAGATATAAAAAAGGAGTTGTTAGCCAAAACTACAATAATCAGTCTTTGGGTAAGACTTGTCAAAGCTTCATATCTACGGCGGAACTGTAAAAACCTCGTTTCACCACAACCAATGAGTCTTTCAAATAAAGACAAATTTGCTCTTGAAGATTTCGAGGAACTTCTAATAACGTAAGTCCTTACGTCATACATCAATATCAAAAGATGACAAATGTTAATGACAGATAATGATATCTTGCTACCTTGTCATGATTCCTCTACCGTTACACGTTGTTAACCCTTTTAAGTCTTGCGTGTTAATGACGGTATGATTGAATTAATCTTTTGATGACAAATTGGTAGAAATCCTTCTACCAAAATAATAATAATAATTATAATTCATTAATCAATTTTGTCTTTTAATGAGGATAGAATATGCTCCGTTAACTTCTCCTTTTAAGTTAATTTCCCCATTAAGTTTTCAAGACCCATATACTTAGATGTAGGTCCCATTTTTATAATATTTTATAAAATCATTTTTTTTTTCTATATAAAGACTCGTAGGTCCCTTATGCTGGACAGAGAAGATCCTTAGATCTTCCCCTTCTCTCTCATCACTCCCTTCTCCTCCTTCTCTTTACTCCTCTCCCTTTCTCATGTAAATTAATCTCCATCAATAAAAGAAGTATTTTCAGAATTTTCCCTTTTCCTTCTCCTTCCCCCTTCCGAGTAATTTTTCTTTACTCCTCTCTATAGAGTAATTTTCTTTTAAGGGCATCATCGGATGTCTTAAGTAGTATTTATTAAAAGATGTGATAATCATTTATAAAGGCTTAAAATTTTTGTATAGTTTTTATGTTCATATAAGCTTATGAGGAGATGTCTAACCGGTTTTGCCAGATTAGTCATCTCATAATCTTAACATGAACTTGTTTATTTATATTTCTGTCATGACTTTTCTATTTTTTTCGTTCATTTAAGCTTATGCGGAGATGTCTAATCGGCTCTGCCAAATTCATACATCTCATAATCTTATTTTAAATATTTCTTACTATAATTGACTTTATCTCGAATAATCTTCATTTAAACTGGTCTTATTTTAAATTTTTCTTTTAAAATTAAATAGTCATATTAAACTAGAGAAAAAAATAAAGAGTTATAATATATATATATATATATATATATATTATTTTTTTTTAATATCTTATTTCTCCCTCTTTTTATGGGGTAAGATGAGTTTTTACTCTATTACATTTTTATGACTCTCATGCTCTCTTTGGTATCAGAACGATTAGTGAGAGACACAGGTGGTTGTCGAAATGAGGGTTACCCAAGATATTTTACACTGGGATAGGTTGGACCAACCATATTAAAGGAAGTTGCCACACGTTACTCCATTTCTTGGTGAGCAAGGACAAGGTGGGACCACATGGCTCTTTGAAAGTTCGTAATTTCATATGGACATTGACAAGATCATGGGAAAAATACGACGTTGTTTCGTGACTTGCGTTTCTGACTTGGGAGCATTGGTACATGGAACCTACCTTCACAGGAACTTTTCAGTCTCCTTCACCTATGCTCGTCACTAAAAAAAAAAAAAATAACAAGTAATAACTTTTTTAAAATTAAATATCTAACAAATTAAACATTTTGTATGAAGTTTATTGCCTACTATTCATGTATTCGTTTAATTAAAATACATGTCACATCATTTAAAGTGTTGAGAGATTATATATAATTAATTCAAACCTTAAAAAAAATTAAAAATGAGAGAAAAATACTTGTCACATCATTTAAAGTGTTGAGAGATTATATACATTAATTCAAATCTTAAAAAACTTTAAAAAATTTAAAAAAATTAAAAGAATCAATATAATAGTATAGTCTAATTATAAGTATATAATTTTTAGAAACTTAATATTAAAATTTATAAATTATTAATACTCAATTTACAAAGAAAAACAAAACGATTGAAAACTCAACAAATATCATTTATTATATATTGAGTGATTAAGACTTATTTTTAAGAAATTGAATCATTTGCATAAACGTGATGAATTAAGATGGCTTGATACCGAAATTTTTCATTCCTAATTAAATAAATTAATTTATATTTAACTTTTGTCATAGCAATATGTTTATCATAACAAATTATTGTGGCTGAATTCAATAGATTTGTTTATTCAATTACTACATAAAATTTTAATTCTCACTTATTTACAAAATTAATATTTGCAGCAATCTTTTATGTTTAAAAAATACTTTTATTCTCTTCATTAAATACACAATAAACTTTAATGGTTTGAACTTGATCATTTATCACCTGCATAATGTTTAGTAATTAGCAAGACCTTCTCTTGTTACAATGAATAATAATATAATTAACATTTTCACAACATATATATATAAAATTATATTGACTAGGATAAAAAACAAAGCAGTGACTAAAGCCTTTGAAGATTTTCAAATGAAGAGGTATGTGGTCCCATGTTGTCCTTGTTCCCTAAGCAAATGAATAAGATAGAACCTTTCCTGAGTTTTCATAATATGCTATAAATATTCCACTTCTCCTGGATTATAACATTCAGACCAAGACCATCGTTCATTTCATCTTTGCACACCCTCTTTTTCAAACCAGAGCTTTTCATTGCCCTAGATTCTGCAGATCACTATTTGCTTCTCCTTAGAAAGAGGAACCAAAAATCGCAGCATATTTTAGCTGAACCCCTCAGGGAAGGTTCCAATATGCCTTTGATGTCGTCTTTCTTCAGTTGCTTCACTTCATCCTCCTCAGGTCAAGTTTGTGACTATGCCCAAGGATCATCTCAATTGAAATCTCCATCTTCAGAGAAACCAAAGACCAAACCGAAATCAAAGGAAGCTCCTCTGGTTGTTCCCTATTTCCCTGTTAATCGTTACCCCTCACTCTTGTAGTGAATCCTCGCTCTTTTCTGTTGTGCTGTCTACTGCATTTGTGAAAAGAAGAAATACTTCTTTTACAATATTATGTTATTCATTTTTTTAATAATGTGATAGACCTTCATTTTTCAAAAATCTACTGATTTATACTTTGCTAAATTCGTTAGTCAAAGACTTTTATTTCTTTGATGATGTAAACAAATTCAATTCTAATTTTGTTGATCAAATAAAAAGGATCCATGAAATAAATTATTAAATAATGTTCTATGACGAATTTTAGTGTCTATGAAATCGTTCATGGCGATATGTTATTCTAGTATTTGTAATTCGATTTTAATTCATATTTTTATTAAAAATATCATCTAACTAAATATAAAAATAAGATGAATTTATTTTAGGTTGACTTTAATTTAAAATTAAACCAATATTTTACTATTTAATTTTTTTATGATTTTTTATTATAAAATTATTATATATTTTATAATAAAAACTGGTTGGACCTGTGAAATTTAATATATAATTTATTATTTAAAAATTAATATTTAATTGATCATAATATTTTATTTATAATTAAAGATGACAAAATAAATTAATTCCTCTTATTTTAATTCGTCTTAATTGTAAAAATAAAACTAACTATTGAATCTGTCATTATTTATATAAATATGTATATATATATATATATATATATAATTTTATTTATTGATTAATTAATTTAAATTATAATTTATAATATATTTATATATTTTAGTAATACAATATAAAATATAATATTTTAAATTATTTTTATTTTAATATAAATATATTTTTTTAATATTTGTCGTCTATTTCTTCAGCGGATTAATGAAAAAAAACTAAAACTATTAATTCAGGCTATTAATGAGTCAAAGGAGCGACCCACCAAAATTAATCAAGCAAATTAAATTCGAGCTTTTTAAATATTATTTAAAGAATTTAACAATCTATATATTACCATACTCTTTTGAAAAGCTACGCCTAACCCATTAAATAAATAAATGAAATTGAAAAAAAAAAGCATCTTTATTTGAAAAATGTTGGAGGCTAGTGGTTGCTTTTGACTTAAGTCTCTCCCAATAATATTATTGGGATCTTTTCCACATTCTTTGGTTTTAATCAATTAGGGCAGCAATTGGAATAGGTAAACAAAGTTGTTCATGCACCTGCGTTTGATAATGATAAGTGATGGTAGCACGAAATACTGCATAAATGTGTGGATGTGGAAAAATATATAAGACAATGATCCAATTTTTACTTTCATTTTTCTTCTATGAATTTCAGACTACTTAAAATAAATTAAGTATAATAAAAAAAATTGTTTATTATTGGGTACTACAAATTATATTAATTATTCATTTGTAGTCCTTACATTAAGAAAGTAATTCTATATAAATTTTAGAAAGAAAAATATTTTTTAAACAGCAAAACAAAAGAATTATCATATTTTAACTATCGAAAAGTATATTTAATCCGAAATGATTACTTAATTTGGGATTTCCTGTAATATTCTTCAATAGCTCTAAGTATTTAAAGTGAGAAAAAAAATTTAAAGTTGAGCAAGGCGTAAACAAAAAAAATAAAATTCTTTATATATTATTTTACTATAATGAATTTAACAATGTAAAAATATTTAAATAAAATCTTGAAATGACGTGTCTATTAATAAATTAAACAATATAGCTATAGTGAAACTATATTTTACAAATAACAAATGAAATTTCAACCCTAGAAACTAATCACCCTAACAAATGTAAAAGGGTGGCAAATGCTTTATGTGTGTTTTTAATCGTTGAATTCAATCCACATAAGACTGAATATCCTTTTGAAGCACGTCAAAATATGAACCAAACACGTCCTTATAGTCTTTTGGACTCAAAATACATAGCCATAGCAAATGTTGAAGTTCTACAAGCGTGAGGGATAATGATTGACAGGGAAATAGGACACAACAAGTGGAGTTCCCTTTGAATCATTTGAGATGAAGATGACGATGATCCTTCACATGATTAAAGACTTGAGCCGATGAGAATGGAATAAAGCAACTGAAGAAGGATGACACAAAAGGCATATTAATAATGATTGGCAAGTTTTGGTCTAACTTGGTTGAATTTGTGCAAAGCTGAAAATGAGAAAACCCTAAATATTTATAGTATAATATGGTAAGACAAAAGGAAGGTGCCATGTTGGTCCATTTACTTAGGGAGCAAGAACAACATTTGACCACATAAATATTGTTGTGGTCTTTAGTGGCTGCTTTTAACCCTCACCAAAAGTGTGAAAAATGTTTTCTACAACGTTGTGATTGGACCAGCGTATTCAATAGTTGTTCTATGTTTGATAAGTGATGTAATCACTACCATTTCTTTTGCGGAGGCAGCGTGTACAATGGATAAAATTTGCATATACGTGGATGACTTCTCCTGTGGAAAGTTTCTAAGAAAATACCAAATAAATAAATAACAATTTTTAATTTAAAATTATTTTATGTTATAAATTAATTTGTAAAATTTATCTCCTACTAGCTTCTCCAAAATAATAAATTTTAATTTTTATAACCTAATTTTAATTTATTATTAGTGTATTCATGTGCTTAATTAATTATTCATATGATTATTATTATTATTATTATTATTATTATTAAAATACAAGGTTAAGAGTTATAAAATAGTTTATTTTTAAAATTATCATTAATTATTTTCACTATAAATTTCATTGTGACACTGCACATTTCTAGCTAAAAACAGAATTTAATGACGGTGTAAAACAGCCACCTTAACATGGTATATAATTAAAAGGTATTCATATTAATAAAAAAATGTTAAACTGTTAATGTGTTTTCGAGAATAAAAGCATATTTATAGTGTAATTCTTTTCAACAGATTTAACTTCTAAAACCAATATTTACAAAAGTAAACAATTTAATAAACTTATCATGGTTGTATAACATGTCAAAAAAAAAAAAATATATATATATATATATATATATATATATATATATATATATACTCCCAAAATATTAGTTAAATTTTATAATATTTTCTGACAAATTACTGTAAAATAACTTTAATCAAAGTTTTTATAAATTAGACCGATCATTAATTCTTAAATTGAGAATTAATATTAATAAAATTATTATAATAATTGAATAATGTATAAATAATATTAAAAAAATACCATAATAATTTTATAGTACTAAAAGTTAAAATAAAATATTAAATTATAGGTTTTTAATATTTAAAAAATATATAAAAATTATTTAGTTATTTTCTACAAATTTTCTTGTAAAAAATTATTTAAATTTATAGGAAATTTATTTTTTAAAATTTTTATAAATCTTTATAAAAATATTCCCATAAAATATAAAATTTTTTAGAGAGTATATATTTGATCTTATTTGAATTGAAAATTCAATAATATTTATTATTATTTACTAATAATAACAAGTTTATATGTAGAATATAAAGAAAGTAAAAACTATATTGAGTTTATTTTTATTTTTTAACAACGTTAAAATAATATATTATTAAATGTTTGTAATTAAATTGATATTTGACTGGTTTTTCCATTTTTTAACTAATTCTTCTTTAAATTAGTTTTATAATTTTTGAACTGGTTTCAAACTAGTTTACTGGTCCGATTTATGTTTTTTTTAAACTAATTTATTATCAGTGTAAATTTAGCAGTAGTGTATGAAAAATAAAGCTCTTGGACATAACGACACAGTTTTATAAATATCAATGATCAAACATCATTACATACATGTATTGAAAGAGTAGTTGAAGAAATTGTATATGACATATCATTGTTAATGATTTGACAAAGTTTGCAACACTTGGGATGATTATGTTGCTCTTGAAGCACAACACTAAGTACTCATTACAATTCTTTCAACAATCAAACACCATCATCCTACAAGCGCGAGAGAGAGGAGTTAATTGGAAAATAAGACATCACCACTGGTGTTCCCTTTGATTTTGATTTGCTCTTTTGCTTCTCTGAAGAAGGAGCTTTCGATTCACGTCCATGTTCGATATCAGATACTCGCTTACATGATGACGATGAAGAAGAGGAAACAAGGCAATTGAAGAGGGATGAGAAGAAAGACATTGTTGTGGTTTAGATTTTCTTTTCTTTCTTCCTGTGTATGGAAGCAAAGGGTGGTTTGAGATTGAATTGAAGTTGAGACATTCAGCATATGATATGATATATAGTAATATGTATATAAGGAAGTTGCTATGCGGGTTCGTATTCGTGAGGTACAGTGAATTTGAAGGACTACATGGCATTTTTATATTGTTTTTGTATTGGGATTATGATTACTGCAAGTTTCATATGGTGAAGAAAATGTCAGAGTTAGAGAACAAGTCATAAATCTTAGCTTAGCCAGCCTAACTGAAAGTTCTCTTTTATTTTTTCTATTTTAGGAGTTAGAGAGTAAGTCATAAATCTTAGCTTAGCCAGTTATAATAGAAATATTTTATAACACATAATATTAAACTTAAAATCCTTGTTATGACTCTCTATTGGTAATACTTTCCACCTGAACTGAAAATAAAATATTAACAAGAGTGAAGCTATCTTATGTGGGATCAATTTAAATTTCTTAATTCAGTAATAACAGTTAGAAAAGAGAAACTTTACCTAATATGAGTGCAATCGGTTAGGATCGAGCGCTTACCACTAGGCCAAAAACTATAGCCATTAGTCAGAGCGCAACTCTTTTTACTTTAACAGCCCAAGCGCCACGATTCAATTGTGACTCGGCCCACCTGACCTTCGTCACAGGACAATTGATGCTACCCGCAACAATCTCCCCTCAAGCAATTGTCCTACAAGGTATCCCACTCTTGGATTGTGACTTGGCCCACCCGCCTCTGCCACGGACAATCGTGCAACCCGCAACAATCTCCCCTCAACAATTGCCCACCAGGAATCGAACTCGTGACCTTGGCTCGATATCAATTGTTAGGATCAAGACAATAATAAAGGAAAGAATAAAGGAGAGAAAAATAAACGACACAAGAATTTTAACGTGGTTCGGCTAAAATATGTATGCCTACGTCCACGACTACACTAGGAAGTATTTTTATTTCTGTGTGTATCTCAAACTTTACATAGGGTTGCTTATATAACAAAATAGAGAACCTCATCTCACAATCCTAATCGATGTGGGACTAAATCAAGCACCATAATACTAACAATTTTCCCACTTGGAGTTTGATTTACGTTACCACCTAGTGTAGTGCCTTCATCATCAATTTGCTCGAAGGCCAGCTGAGGCAATGCAAAGCCTCAACTTAGTTGTTGTAACAGCTCTTGGTCAACATATCAGCGGATTCTCTCGCACTGGAATCTTCAACAAACTCAAGTCTCCATCATTTATCGTGTTTCGATAAAATGATACTTCAATTCAATGTGCTTACATCCGGAATGAAGGATTGGATTTTTAGCAAGACAAATAGCACTTTGATCGTCACTAAACAACGGAGAACCATCTTGTTCTCTTCCTAATTCTTTTGAAGGTTCTTCAACCATATCATCTCCTTTGCCGCTTCCGAGATAGCTACATACTCTACTTCGATGGTTGAGAGAGAGACCCTTCCTTGAAGTTTAGACTTCCAACCGATAGTTGTACCACCCAATGTAAAAATATAACCTCGTTGTGCTCTTTCTACCGTCAAGATCACCTCCCAAGTCCGCATCGAAAACCCCCGTAAAATGAGATTACTTCTCTTGAAAGACAAATGCATCTTTGAAGTGCCTTTCAAATATCCGAATATCCACTTCACTCCTTCCCAATGCTCCTTTCCGGGATTTGATAGAAATCTGCTCACAACTCCCACTCGCATGTGCTATGTCCGGTCCGGTGCAAACCATAGCATACATCAAGCTTCCTACTGCAGATGCATATGGCACTTTAGACATGTGACTTTCTTCTTCTTCCGTTTGAGAAGATTGCCTCTTTGAAAACTTTAAGTGAGTTCCCAAAGGTGTATTCCTGGTTTTAGCATTCCCAACATTGAATCTGCTAAGCAATTTTTCTATATATTTTTCTTGAGATAAGTTCAAAATACCTTTATCTCTATCTCGGGAGATTCTCATACCAAGAATTTGCTTGGCTGGACCAAGATCCTTCATTTCAAAGCTCTCGACAATTGTTTCTTCAACTTGTCAATTTCTCGCCATATTAGCTCCAACAATCAACATGTCGTCAACATATAAGGCAAGAATGATATAGCTATCAACATATTTCTTCACATAACAACAGTGATCTTCTTCACATCTGCGAAATCCCGAGTTTCTCATAAACTCATTAAACTTCTTGTACCATTGTCTCGGCGCTTGTTTTAATCCGTACAAACTTTTATGAAGCTTGCATACAAGATTTTCTCCGCCTTGTACTTCAAAACCTTTTGGCTGTGTCATAAAAATTTCCTCTTCAAGATCCCCATGTAAGAATGCAGCTTTGACATCTAACTGCTCCAAATGAAGATTTTCTACAGCTTACTATACTCAAGATAACTCGATGGTAGTCATCTTGACAACAGGAGAGAAAATTTCGTGAAGTCAATTCCTTGTCTTTGTTGGAACCCTTTCACTACGAGTCTAGCCTTATATCTTTTGCCGCCATCCGGTTCTTCTTTCAACCTATAGACCCACCTGTTTTGCAAAACTTTCTTTCCTTCCGGTAGCTTGGTTAAAGACCATGTTTTATTCTTCCGAAGGGACTTTATCTCATCTTCCATTGCTAGCTCCCACTTAATAGATTCATCTCCCTGCATAGCCTCGAAGAAATGCTCCGGCTCACCAAGCATCGATCAACAACAAATAATGCAATGAAGGGGAATACCTTTGTGGTGCTACAATTGTTCTGCTAGATCTTCTAACCAAGATTTCAGGAGTTGCTGACTCTACTATTTGTTCGGGTTACGTCTCGGGCTCGACATAGGCTCTACTTGTATATTCCGCCTTCGGTTGACTACATCACTTTCTGAAATTTCTTCTAATGATACTTGCTCTAGCTGTTTATTTACATTTGCGGATTCTCGCAATCCTGTCTCTATAGAACATGTTTTCATTAAAAGTAACATTTCTACTTCGATAATTTTCTTGTTTTGGTCATCCCAAAACCCGTAGCCAAACATGTCGGATCCATAACCAATGAAATAACAACGTTTTGCCTTAGGGTCCAATTTATCTCTACTATTAGAGTCTAACATAACATATGAAGCATAACCAAAAACTTTCGGATGTGAAAGATTTACCTCTTTTCCGGACCATACTTCTTCGGGTAACTTATAGTCTAAAGGAACCGATGGTCCTCTCGTTTATGAGATAAGCTCGCTGTGCTTATTGCATCTCGCCCAAAATACCTTGGGTAATCCTCGACTGGATTCTCATACATCTTGCTCTCTCATTCAAGGTTCTGTTCATTCTTTCCGCCACACCGTTTTGTTCGGTGTTCCTGGAACTGTCTTGATCATTCCGATCCCATTCTCCGAACAAAACTCCTTGAATTGACTACTCGTCATATTCTCCACCATTATCGGACTTCAAACATTTGACCTTTAAACTTGTTTGAGTCTCAACCTCCTTTTCCACCTTTTAAACACAGAAAACACATCGATTTATTTTTAAGAAAATAAACTCATACCTTTCTTGTAGAGTCATCAATGAAGGTTACATAATATTGTGAACCTCCAAGGGATTTCACCGAAGCTGGCCCCAAACATCTCGTATGCACTAGTTCTAGTCTTTCAACTTTAGACGACTTACTTGTTTTGGAGAAGCTAACCTTTTTCTGCTTTCCAAAGATACAATGTTCGCAAGGTCCAACGTCAACATGCTTCACGTTAGGTATTTTACCTTTTGATATCATGAGCTTCATTCCTTTCTCACTCATATGCCCAAGCCTCGATGCCATAAGGAGGAATTGTTGCCAACTTCGCAAGCGATATCATATCCTCATCCGCAATCATGTAGAGAGATCCTTGCTTCTTTCCACGAGCAACAACAAGATTACCTTTCATTACCTTCCAATGTCCATCTCCAAAAGTGGTGTAATGTCCCTCATCATCCAACTGCCCTATAGATATTAAGTTTCTCTTTAAGGTTGGAATATGTCTGACATTATTCAAAGTCCACACGTTTCCATTAGAGGTTCTGATGTTAATATCACCTCTTCCTATGGTATCAAGAGCCAATTTTCTTAGTATGCTCTGTGGTTGCGGCTTTGTCCGATCTTCCACATCGAAAAAGATTTGGTCTTTTTTCTTGGGAATCTCGGTTTAGAGAAGCGAGTGGGAGCTTTCTTCGAAAGCGGTGAGAGCAATGGCATTGGAAGAAGGAAAGGTGAGGATCGAGAAGTTCGATGGCAGTGACTTCGGGTTCTGGAAGATGCAGATGGAAGATTATCTGTATCAGAAGAAGTTGTATCTACCCTTGACAGGGCAGAAGCCAACCGACATGGAGCAGTCAGAATGGGAGTTGTTAGATCGGCAGACGCTTGGTGTGATCCGGCTGACATTAGCCAAGAATGTTGCGTTCAACATCATGAACGAGAAGACAACCGTAGATTTGATGCAGGCGTTGTCAAATATGTATGAGAAGCCCTCTGCAGCCAATAAAGTGCATTTGATTCGCAGGCTAGTCAACCTCAAAATGGGTGAAGGTAACTCGGTCCTCTGCCACGGGACAATTGTGCAACCTGCAACAATCTCCCCCTCAATAATTGCCCACCAGGAATCGAACTCGTAACCTGGCTCTGATACCAATTGTTAGGATCGAGCGCTTACCACTAGGCCAAAAGCTATAGCCATTAGTCAGAGCGCAACTCTTTTTACTTTAACAGCCCAAGCGCCACGATTCAATTGTGACTCGGCCCACCTGACCTTCGTCACAGGACAATTGATGCTACCTGCAACAATCTCCCCCTCAGCAATTGTCCTACAAGGTATCCCACTCTTGGATTGTGACTTGGCCCAGCCGGCCTCTGCCACGGGACAATTGTGCAACCTGCAACAATCTCCCCCTCAACAATTGCCCACCAGGAATCGAACTCGTGACCTTGGCTCTGATACCAATTGTTAGGATCGAGCGCTTACCACTAGGCCAAAAACTATAGCCATTAGTCAGAGCGCAACTCTTTTTACTTTAACAGCCCAAGCGCCACGATTCAATTGTGACTCGGCCCATCTGACCTTCGTCACAGGACAATTGATGCTACCTGCAACACAATCCGTTTTTGAATTTTCTCACTGATTAAGCCTGTGATCCTTTTCTAATGAATTTCCTGACTAAAAAGTTTTTAGTTCCATATTCTTGCTAAACTTGAGAAAGAATGATTTTGGATGTTCCTAAGGTGTAGTATATAAACAGGGGAAGTGTCCCCATCTAGTAGCTCAAGTTATAAGAATGATTTTTGCTGAGCGTGTGGTGTTTAAGGAGAGAAAGGAATGAATGGGAAGGGTAGAACTCTGGCAGTTGTAAGGTGAAGGAATTATAAAAGGGTGTGTACGTGTAGGTAGATAGCAATGCGGCGGAGATGTAGGCTAGAAATAGAATTGAAAAGGGTCATGAGGAGAAAATGAAATGTTAATGTGGGCTAGTTTTTTGTCAGCATGGGGGAGACTTGTTAAGAGAGAAAAAAAACTTTTTCTGAGTGTTAGGGAGTGATATCATGAGGTGTTACCAGTGGTTAGCAATGTGAGAAATAGTGGAAACATAAATCAAGATGTGAAGATCTATATGCAAAAAGGGGTAGTGAAAAAAAAAAAACTGATCAGAACCATTTTTGCATTGAAATTAATATATGGTTTATTTTTTTTATTTAAATTAAGTATTAAATTTTTTTTAATATTTTTTAGAATAAGAAAAAAATATTATATTATTTTGATTTAATTAATTAGTATTGAAATATTGTTAATATTTGATATTTTATTATATATTTATTATATATATATATAGTACATGAAAAAATATATGTCCATAAAATATAAAAAATATACATACAAAACCTTAAAATCCTATAAATTTTTATCAGTAGTATCAGAGTTTTGGTTCAAATTCATAATCTTAAACTCACACAAAGATATTTGGGATTATTAAAAAAAAATGAAATATCCACAAAGAGGAGCACTAGAATTTTGAAGAAGAAAACTCCAACAACTAATCAGATAAACATCATTGTTGAAAAACAAGACTCCAAGAAACAATAATCGCTCAATAGAATTGCTAGAGATGCAGAAAATGCTATAGTGTGTCTCAAGAAGGAGAAGATCGAAGAGATCCTGAAGGCCAAACACGAGGCTCTGAAACAAAAGAACGAAGAACTTGAAAATTGTGATCATAAAGTTGAGAAGCTTAAGGCTAAGATGGAAAAACTGCATAAGTTGAAGGAGTTTAAACCTATATGAATTTGTATATTTTGAAAGATAAAACAAAAGACAAGAAAAATGGGCGCTCTAAAAATAAAATATCTTCCTCACATTACATTCTATGGATGAAAGATCAATGGAAGAAAAAAATTTTCCAATAAATTAGGAGATAGATGTTAGATGATCAACGCATAAACAAAAAAAAAACTTATGAGAAGAAATATTATGTTAAGAAAAAATTTTATTTGCACGTGATTGCAAAAGAAAAACATGATAATAGGAAGACAACAAAATTGAAGAACACATAAATAAAAAGAAAAAATATTAAATTTAAATAAACCGATATTAAAACAAAAAAGTAAGTTGAGAATTTATATTTTATTAACTTTTATTTAAATTAAGTATTAAAATATTTTTTAAAATAAGAGAAAAAATTATTAAGTTATTATTTTGACTTAAGTAATTACAATTGAGATATTATTTAATATTTTGTTATATTTTTACTCTAAATATATAGAATAAAAAAAATAATATATATGCTCACATAAAATATCATAAATACACCTACACATAACCTTAAAATTTTCGTATATCATCAATTGAGGATGCTAATGTTGTATCTATAGGATGATGTGACCACTCTCTTTTGTTGCATACAGTCTTGGGTTATTCCTTTTAGTTTACTTGAGACTACTCCTCTTGAACGAGTCAGCTACTTGACAAAGGAAACCATGACATGCTTCTTGGGTTTTCATTTTTACTTTGGATTGTTCTTTCATCATTGCTTCCGTTGTTAGACCTCAATTCAATTTAGTTTAGTTTGTAGTTTGGTTTGGTTAATCTGCAAACTATAAATAAATTACAAGAGAACTAGTAGCATTTAGTTTAGTTTTATATAGGCTTACATAGCTGTAAGTGGCATGTGGTTTGGTAGGATTTAGTTCTATTAGGTAAATAAATATCCTCATTAGACATGTGCAGGATATACTTTATTTTCCCTAAAAACTTTCTTTCTGAAATAAATATTATTTCAATATTTTCAACTAGAAGTGTTCGTATAAGCCTCACCTTTTAATACACGCTTCATTTTCTTCTGCCAATTGGCAACCAGACCCTCATTCCTCCATAGTATTTATAGTTAAATTTGTCTCAGAAGTTTGATACTGGTACTGCTGAATATTTCCTCACACTTGTTCATAAGCCCAGTTGAACTTCATTCATGATGGTTCTAAATGTCAATATGGTTTGATGTCAAATTCTTCCATCAATGGTAGTTCCTGAACATTTTTCACTTGTAGGTTACTATAACATTTTTCAATTGTAACAATACTGGATGCTGAATAATTATAGGTTAACAGAACACAAGCACAAATTAAATAAAACATGAAACGGTTCTTGTTTTGGTATTAGTCTTGCAATGTGTTAATGTCCTTCAGTGTCAGAAAGTGGGGAACATGCATGAAAACATTGATCCTATGAAAAGTATTATCAGAAAAGAGTTCACCTCATGTACTCCATTTGTTTGTCTATATGTCCTTTGATAATAGTTGAAAACTACTGAATTTGGATGCACACGAAGCTCTTTCATTCTGAGTAGAAACCTCAAGGAATTTCTCTATTTACCTGTCTTGCAATGATCAGTATTATGATTCGACATGTTCATTCATTAGGTTTCACTTTGTTGTACTGCATTTTCAATATTAACCTTTCAGTTTTGTCTATCTCATCATTTTGTATGCCCTTGCCATTGTATTTGTATGTGACAACATCATGCTGAATTCATTATCAGTACTAGTTGTTGGTTTACATTCATACCTTCATACTCTGAATTTTTTCATGGCTTCATCTACCTTGCCAAGACCAGAAATGGAGAATTTTGGCAGCAAGCTTCAACCTTTTCATAACAACATTGTTTTTAGCATTATACTTCCTTTGTAATCTTAAAAGCACCAATCATGCATTCGCCATAGAATAATAACTCAAATTATAAGGAAGTTCAGAGCAATAAGAGGAAGTAGTGGAGAAACAATATTGGCAGGGCTTATAAAGAACGTTACCTATATTACATTTATAGGGCCCTCTAAGAATTCACAAATCAACAACTAGTTGAATCTTGCATTCATGCTATTGCTTGTTCGTGTCACTCATGTATGATTTGTGTCCTTTCAAATCCAAAGAGGGTGTCAAATTAGAGGAACTAAATGCTCCCACAAAACTATGAAAAAGGAAACGAGGAAAACGTCCAATAACAAGCACAATAGAACTAACCATATCTGTCTAATTGTATTCCAATCATGACACTTATAACCTGACACAATTTGAATGCCATCAACAAGAAGGGAATGAATATCAAAATGAACAACTACAAAGTATGCAATGTTGAACAAGAGCAAGTAATAAATGGTCTGTTTTCTACTTCCATTCAATCAGCAGCATTTGCTCAAGCAAGAATAATTTGAAACAGTGAAGCAAGAATAGTTTATTTTCTGTTTTTTATTTATTTAACAGAACAGAGGCAACGCTATGTGTAATGGAGGTCCTCAATCCATTAAAGAGACCAATGAATTGTGAAAATTGTTGTAAACATCAATCATTAGATCACCAGTTCCAATTTTCATTATAAGCATACAACTAACAGAAAATTAGAGAAAGATAGAAATAAATGTCGAAATTTAATGAATAATAAAGGAATAAAATATAGAATTCACACACTCTTAGCTTCTGCATTTGTACAATATATACATTTTTGTACACAACAGATCAATTCATGTCTTCTTTGCCCTTCAACAAAATGAAATAGTTGACATGATTATAATTATCTAAAACAACTCTTTCTTCTAATTACAATGGAATGGTTGTACCACAAATTACAAAAACCAGGTCACTATTAAAAGCACGTGACCAGTTTTATGAATACAACGAAAAAACTCATTCCAAAGATGAAAATGATCATAGCTACAAAACCTGTGCACCACAATTTGGTTCTTCTATTTCAACAAAAGAATGATCTTAGAGGTAGCAGTTCTCTATACTCTACAAAAAATTAAGTCACGTCTCCTTTTTTTCCCAAAAAAAATTAATTCAGGACGTAATTGTTACATTCTAGATTACTGTTTTGGAATGAAAGAAGTTGTGACTTTTTTCCTGTTAGAGATAAACGTCTCCTATCAGTTGCTCCAACACTCGAACAATCTGACAGAATTCGAGTCTCTCATCTGGGTTCAAGGCCCAACATTGATTGATCAAATCTCTCAAATCATGTGGGCAATGTGTAGGAATAATAGGCCTTGAATCCCTATCAGCTACTGCAACAGCAACCTGAATTGGAGTCATATTCTGAAATGGCACTGTGCCACTCACCATCTCCCACAAAATAAGCCCAAAACTGTACACATCAACCTTCCTCCCATAACACTTGCCTTTGATCATCTCTGGTGCCATCCAACGATATGTACCCCACAATGAGTCACACTTTGAGGCCTCACAAGCAATGCCAAAATCAGCTATTTTGAGATGAGAGTCCCAATCAACAAGGATATTTTCAGGTTTAAGGTCTCTATGAATGATACCTTGAGCATGTATATACTCCATTCCACGAGCAATATCCAAAGCAAAAGCTAGCACATTCTCGAGCGGAATTGGCTTGGACTCAAACTTGTTCAAATGTGCCCTTAAAGACCCCTTTTGTTGATACTCCGTGAGAATGCAAAAAGAATTGGTGTCTTTGTATGCTGCTATGAAACTCACCACATTTTGATGGTGGAGACGAGGAAGATGTGTGACTTCTCTCGAAAATTGTGTCTCTAAGAGAGATCTAATGGTTTTCTTTTCCTCGCATTCTGGTACCTTGAAAATTTTGATAGCAACATGTCGCGCTTTGTATATACCATGGTAAATTTGACTATGAGCACCATGAGAAAACTTGTACCCAATGAAGAGATGAGAAAATTCAACATTCCAATTTTGTGCAATTCCCATTCCACTATCTCTACGATTAATGTGATCAAAACATTTTGTTAATGGCCATGATGATTCCTTGCGATTCTTGAACTTTCCCAGCAACGTGGTTGATAACTTCCCCATGATAATATGAGAATAATGCTTCTTCTTATGATTTTGATGAACCTAAAAACTCTTGATTCAAACCTCAACACGCATCTTTCCATAAATTGCATATTCCTCGTTACTCGGTAATCAAATAATTTGTCCTATTTTCATAGGAAAAATAAATTATCTCTATTATGATCATATTTACTTTAAATATTATCAAAAATAAAAAATATTTTATTAATAACATGATCTTATTAAATCTTATACTATCAAATATTTATATTAGAAATTTATTGTTGTAAAAAATCGGTTGCTTTTACTGAATACAAATTTTAACATTATCTCAGAAGACTATTGCATAACAGTATATCCAAATGATATATATATATATATATATATATATATATATATCAAATTGGTGTAATTTTATTTTAAAATTATGAAAATGGATAATTTATTTTAAACGTTATTGTTGAAAGTACGAAATTTTATATGTCATAAATAAAATTTATTCAATTCCTAAGTTTTTAATAAAATTGTACCACTTTATCCATGGATTGTTACAAAAACGTCAGAGAAAACAATATAAACTCTTTATTTTCGGTTATACAAACCATTTACAATTATCCCTACAAATACAACTGAAAACAGAAACACGACCTAACATGAAAAAACTCTTGCCATGAAACAGAGCTCAAAGAAAACACAACATTCATGGATTCTAACTCTCTTAACCATGTGAAAGGAGTGAATTAACTAGGAAATAGGTTACAGCACTTGAATTTTCAGTGGGTTTTGGTGAGCTTCTAGCGATTTCCAAATCAACAGTATTCTCTGCATCATCAGAGTCGAAGGATGAAGACGAAGTTGTGAAGAACATAAAGCAGTTGAGAAAAGCTCTCAGCATGAACATTGCTTCCAACTTTGAATTCTGCTCCAATTGTGAAACGCATGTTCCCATCATAACCATCTAATCTTAAATACACGCTTTTTAATATAATATTATATTGTACTTTGTATTATATTTTACAAAAATTCGTAATCTTGTATTGTTAAATTTTATTTTTTTTCAATTATACGATCTCAAGTATTAATTATTCATAATTTGTTGATTTTGATTTAATTAATTGTAGTTTATTTTCCTGTGAGATTGGAAAAATAAAAATAAAAACACTCGTAACTTAAATAAATTAAAATGGGTTGCAGTTATTATTTAGTAGTAATTTAATATATTTTTTAAATTTAAATAAAATAAAATATACATAATTAAATAATTAAAATTGTATAAAGATCAAAATCACATATAAGTACAAATTCAAGGATTAAAATTACAGAAAAAAAAAAAAACATACATTCCTAGGATCATATCGTAGGTAATGATAAACATCACATTGCCATGTCAGACACTTAAGGATAAGTGTTAACATGAGTCTTGCAATGTCCTTTTCTTAGGATATTGTCGACGTGTTAAACTAATCTCTTTCAATTCGTTCCTTCCTTTCTCAAGTTGGTTCGCGTGAAACAATTTTTATATAGTTATTACTTTATCTATTTGATTGATATTGGTATTTCTATACATTATTAATTTGGTTTTAACATGTATAAAACAATTTTAATATAATTTTTTAATATATTTTTAAGAGTTTTGTGATCAGAATTCTATAAAATAATTTTAGGAAATTTGAACAATAATATTATAATAATATATAATACTTCTTTAAAAAAAATATTTTTCATAAAATTGGTTTAATTTTAACTTTGATCTTATAATCTTTTTAAAAAAATTAAAAAAATATTCTTTAAATTATAAATTGAAATATGATATTAAATTAATATTTAATTATAATAATTAAATTATGTTTAAGCTACTATTTAAAATATAAAAATTACCTATGTTATCTTATTTGAATTAAAATTTTAATAATATTTATATTATTTACTAATAATAATAAGTTTAAGAAAGTAACAAATAATAATATATGGAGTTTATTTTTATTTTTTTAATAAAGCTAAAATAATTTATTATTAAACATTTTTAATTAAATTGATCTTTCACTAATTCTTCGGATTCTTTGATCAATTCTTCTTTCAAATTAGTCTTATATAATTTTTGAACTCGTTGCAATAATTTATTATCAGTGTAAATTTAGCAGTAGTGCATCAAAATTAAACTCTTGGACATAACTACACAAAATTGATCAAACATAATGAAAAATGGTAGTTGAACAAATTGTACACAATAATTTGAGAATGTTTGCAACACTTGGAAGGATTATATGTTGCTCTTGAAGCACAACACACAGTACTCATTACAATTCATTCAACAATCAAACACCGTCATCCTACGAGCCTGAGAGAGAGGATTTAATTGGAAGACATCACCATTGGTGCTCCCTTTGATTTTGATTTTCCCTTTTGTTTATCTGAACAAGGTGGTTTCGATTCACACCCATGTTCAACATCAGACATTCGCTCCCATGATGATAAAGAGGGAACAAAGCAATTGAAGAGGATGAGAAGTACATTGTTGTGGTTTAGATTTTCTTTTCTTTCTTCTTATGTATGGAAGCCAAGAGTGATTTGAGATTGATTCAGCGTACCTTTTATAATATAATGATCTTATCTTTGTTGGAAATATTAATTTATTATTTTTTAAATTAAGTGTTAAAAGATTTTTAATTATTATTTAAAATAAGAAAAAATAATTAAATTTATTTTGATTTGGATAATTATAATTAAAATATTATTAATATTTGATATTATATCATATATATATATATATATATTATTTGTATATTTACATATATTTAAATTCATGATATAATAAAATATTAAAAGATTAAATATGCTAATATAAAATTTAACTAAATTATAAATAATACATATAATATAATAAAAAGTAATTGAAAAATATTTTGTAATTCGCGTCGTAAATGTGATTTTATTATCTTGTGTTTGTTAATGTAAGTATTATTATCTAAGTTGTGAATCATTTTCTTATGTATTGTCCTATTTATAGTCTTAGTTTGAATAAACAATTTAATCTTTCACCATGTTCGTTCACGTTACACACTTGAGTGTCAAGCTTGTATTTTATTCCAACGGTTAATCATTTGGGTCACATTGACACCAGTTTTAATCTGTACTGAGTCGTGAATGATCTTTTGGTTTCATACTTGAACTAGACGATAGTAGTTAATTTTAGTTACTTGTTTGTGATCTCCATAGTCAAGTATTTGAGTAATGCTTTAAAATAGTTGAGTGAAAGACCATAGGTGTTGGATTGTCATTGTTCTAGGGTTACAACATGTATAAGTAACAACAAAACTATTTGGACTTTCCATGATGGTTGCACGTTAGAGAAGCCTACCAAAGTAATGTATAGCTTAAGAGGAAGGGATGTTGTTTTGGTTTGTGGAAGAGGTAGCAACAGGTGGTTTATAAACATCATTATTTCATCAGTCGATCTTGTATATTTAGGATATAATTCAATTATAGTATCAAAAAGAAATTGTGACTTCCAAGTAATCATATTAGATACATTAATATTAGAAAATATATCGGTAGCATCATATATAATTAAACCATCACCTGTTAGTTTTGGTTGATGATAATACAACCTATTGATTGAGGTGTCTTAAGGAATCCATAAAGAAATGCATATTCTTTCCTTCAAAATGATAAGTATGCAATTGTGTGGAATTCAAAAAAGCTTAGGAGATGCACATTAAAAATATATATCTTCCTCATTTGTTATGATTTAACTCTTTGTAATCACTGTTGCAAGATAAAAGTTATTAAAGTTTTTAGTTCTGTCAAGTTCCTCCATTTTAAGAGTAAAAAGAAGAAGAAATAAAGGTTGAACAAATAAGTTGATAAACAAGATGAGTGGATGAATATTTGATAAGAGCAAACCTGAATTTATATATGTCATGTACTATATTAGGTAAACAAAAATGCTCCCATATTAAATTAATCTAATTTATATTGTGAGAGTTGGGTCTTGGGCAGTTTAATGGTGACTTGACTTTGACGTTAGACAGTGTGTATTAAATATCGATCGTTGATGCTTAGGAATTCAATTATGACCATTACTTTTTACTGACGCATTCAACAATATATGGTATAAACAATATGGATTAAATCTTGATTATTGATATTTTGGGATATAATCTTGACCATTATTTTTTGCTTACATATTAGGAATGTGCATTAGTGTGTGGTATAAAGGAGTATTATCGTGGACAATATATTGTTTACTTTGACCTCAGTCTTGGGCAACAAGAACTTTATGAATGCATATAAGAAAAATTAATTGACTATAAATAAGGCATTGAAAAGTCCACATGGATAAATTTGTTCATTAATGTGGCAGTGGTTGTTCATAAGTTTGCCTTATTGACTAGTAAGTTAAAATTTGTTTATATGTGCACCTTCATTAGTTATTGACATTAAGTTAGTTACTTTTCTTATTTTGGAATAAATTGATAAAGTTGGATGGTTGAAAATAATATTTAATGAAAAAAATGTACAAATGAATTGTCTCTAATTTATTAAGCAAATTTTTCATGTATGAACTTAATATTCATTACAAAAACTTTAAATTAGTTTTTGTAATGGTGACCAGTTTTATAATGAGGACATTATCTATTACGTCTTGGTTTTCTTCTTGATTATTGTTTTTGGAATGGTCCTTCTTACAATGGTTGTTCTTCAGGTGTTTCAATAGTGTAATGTGGAAAGAAGGCAAATGAACTAGTTCTTTCATGATCATAATGTAGATGGTACATTGATTGCATGTAAGCATAAGCAGGTGAAGGTGTTATAAGTTTTGCTCTAAATAAATTTGACAAAAACTCATCTAAACTTGATGCAAAAGAAAGTCGTGTAACACCCATTGTAGGTTGTGGTGGTGTCTTGCAGTACTTGTGAAGAGTTGGTGTGGAGGCATTTGAAATGACGGAGTAGTGGATGAGAAAATTCCAAATATACATGATTGATTTTATTCACATTGTTGGTTTCTTAGATCTTGGAGTAGTTCTAGAACAAACAACAAATAAATAGAATTAACAGTGTACCATTTAATGTATTCTCTTGTATGTCAGAAAAATCATTGCATTGGTGGACCTGTTAATACAAGGTCTTGTCTATTATTCCATAAATTAATTCATTCGACATGTCTTATTTGCTAGTTTTCACTAGTTCTCCCCACATGTCAATTTTGTGAGGGTTGTCTAGATTTTGTGAGAGAGAAGGAACTTCCTAAAACAAATTAAATTGTCACTTGACTCAATCAGACTGATGTCAATTCACAACTGTAAAACAAATTATGGTCGTGCAAGAAGTCCACATTTGTGAACCCTGGTATGTTTGTGCCGGTATTAATGTTTCTAACCCTCGATATGGTATCCACAGTGAAGTTATGAGTAATTAGTTAGTTAAAATTAATTTAAAACATATATTTAATAATGAAAGTGTTAATTGAGTTTACAATGAGCTTAAATATGATCATTCCTTACTTGGTACCCTACATGATCATTGTAGGACGGCTAATTGGTGCAATGTATGGCATGCGATGACATGCTTGAATATAATCACTCATAGTTTTTTTACCTAACATCGGTTGCTCGACACATTTTCCTGTACAAAATAGTTAAACACGTAAAACACCAATTATATCATTTGGTCCTACGTAAATTAGTCAGAAATGGTAAATACATGAGGTGTACTTTGTTACCTATTTTGTTAAGCATCAAAACTCTCTAATTAAACATAATATATCTGCCCTAGCATGGACATAAAGTCGTTCCTCTAATGGTGTTTCTAGTAGTAACAACATGTTATCTCTTAGCTACTTTAGTTTAACCATGAATCCAATGATAATTTCACCTTTATTTGGCATGACTCCCAAATATATGTCACGCACCTCTTTCCAGTCAAGCATTGTGGGTTCAATGATCGGATGACCAT